AAATAAAAAGATATTTTATCCTTAAGATAAGAGAAATCAGTAATAATTAGAATGCTTGCTTCACTACCAATTTCATTTTCAAATATCCCACACCTAATGCCCTAGAGATCCAAAGCATGGTAACTGGGCAAATACCAATTTGGGCAAACACCCAAATACAGTTTAATTCAGTAAATATCCTTCCCTGTGAAGCTAAAGCTAATACCAAACAGCAGTTTTGCTAGTGAACCCCACAGTCTCAGATTATTTTTGTATGCTGAATGTGGGTGACTAACTATAAAATTGAGACAATTACCATCATCCTGTCATTATTATGCACTCTTCATCTTAGTATATGCGCGAAAAAAAGCTCACTGTCAAAATACTTAATATAAAATTCTAATGTCTAGATGACCTGCCTACTGACTTGTTAGCTCCATTGATTGATTGGAAAGGTTACACAGTAACACTATTTACATCCTCAAGAATAGTTTATCAAAGTTGGATTCTTTTAACAGAAAATCTGGAAACATCTGAGGTCTGTTCTTTCAACATATCTTGCTAAAGGAATGAAGAGCTTTTGCACCCCTGCAATGTCTACAGGCAAGCTAGACAGTGGTAATTGAGCTGGGAAATCTGGACCTCTGCACAGGCACAACAGCAGCTGACCAGAGAACTTAAAATTGAAGGGAGGGATAGCTTAGGCTGCATAGGTTAGTGTTGTTGTAACAATGCTAAAGAGCAGCAGGAAAAAAATTGTTATTTTAAGACCTCACTGAAGGCCCAGTGCTACTGCATTAGGTATTGTGCTAAACTTGAGAATCTAACCCTGAAGGGAGGAAATTTGTTTCAAATTATCAACCACTCTCCTATGCAGATATATGTTTTGAAACAACATAAATAAAATAAATACATGGAGGAATAGACGAAAGCTAGTTATTAGCTAAAAAGTATTATTTTTAAGTCACTAGGTAGCTGTAGGAATATTTACACTTTTAAAAGAAATGCAAGTGTTTTCTACTTCTAGAATAAATTTCTCAATAAAAAACAAAAAGAAAAAATAGAAACATTAACATATATTTTCAAAACATAGTATCTTTTGGAAGTATTTAAAGCAAATTAATTATCAAAAAAGCAATAATAATTTAAACAACTAAAACAGCTTTTCATATTCCAAGTGCCATTTAAAGATGTTTAATCTTGTTTCATTATTTAAACTATTTCTTATTTCTTTTTGATAGTCAAATCATATTTTGATTTGAGATTTTGGGAGGACTGCTTTAGACTTTTTAAAGGTGTTCTCATGAACAATCACTTAGTTTGCAGGAGGAAGAGTGAAAATGCATGGTATCCATCAAAGTCACAACTAAATAGGAAAAAAATGAAATATAAAATACATGATTGATTAGTCAGTGGTTTGGAGAGCTTACCACCACTTCCCACACAAAAAGCATAAAATGGTCTTGTTTCAAGCTCTGCACATTACACTTCACACATTTTCATTTAACAAATGTAAGATGAGAATGGTGATCAAATTCATTCAGATAAAATAACATTGTGGTATTTTTCTGAACTGCTTTATTTTTTCTTTTGTGAGCATGCTTTAGAAAGATACCTACATTTTCCAGTTTACACAGATACAAAGATAGCAGAAGAGTAGGATTTCTGTTTCCAAACAAATTTCAATAAAAATATCAAAAAAAAGAATATTCTTAAAAGTTTGGAATCACAAGTCTGAACTGCTGAATGTTCCTTTATGTTCTGACTTAGAGTTACTAAAATCATGTGATGAATTTTGTTCTTTATGATAATAGATGTCTAACTATAAGGAAAACCATAAAGAAGATATAAACCATAAGGAAAATATTAACAAGTATCATGAGAACACAGCAACTTAGCTCTAACTTATCAAATATATTCACCATTAATCATAAGCAGTTAATGTAGCTTCCACAACCAATGTATGATTTAGCTGGCTTCTAAAGATGCCCTTGAACTTGTAAATATATTCTATATTACATAAAAGGACAGCATTGCTTCAAAGTTAATATTGCAAAATTAAGAAGTACAATCAATCTGACAGCAAGGCATTTAAGAAAATCCTAATTTTTTAATAAAAATAAAGTTCTACATGTACTTACAATACTTTAAATATTCCATGCTTCATTCTTTCCTCACTGCACATTTAATATGACTAACATTCATTTTGCAAAGTAAAGCCATTTAATCCAGTTTTAGATTGTATCTCCTAGAGCAAGAGTTGTTTGGGAGGACTCAAAAGCATCACCAAATGAGGCTTTTCCTTACACTGACTTGCAGAGCTCCTATCTCCACTGCATCCTGCTGCAGTTCAGGCAGCCCTTGCTGCCTGTGTAAGAAGCACAGGCACCCACAGGCTGCTCTGCACCTGGGACACCAAACTCAAGCCAGGCACCTTTCAGCTCTTTCCTTGTCTCTTTCTGTGCTGGCAGTTTCCTACTCTTTAATGTATAAAGTCTGGGAAACAGGCTTTTCATTCCTCCTTCTCCTCCTTTTACTACTAGCCAGAGCCTACCACCCTGAGCAAGAAGTAGAAATAGCTTTCTGGTGTCTGCTGGGACCTAATCCAACATAACAATTAGAGCAAAGACTCTGGGTCCCTCTCCTCTATTGCTAGTCCAGGTCCTTCCCTCCCTTCTGAGCACTTCACTTTCAATAATCTTTTCAATTTCTGTTTGCATACTCTGCGAGTTGAAGCTTATTTCTGTGTCTGTGATCTTAAAGCATGCAGGAAATTCAGCTGCCAAGGCCTCTACACCTACAATGAAAAGGGCCAAAGAGCTCGGACTGCCACAGCTTGAAAAGCTATGATATAAAAAGTCTGCAAGTCCTGGGCTGACAGCACAGCACTGTAGAGTAAAAATGACTTCTGAATTAGGATTGTAAAGGCTTAAGAGCCTGCAAAACTTTGACTGGCAAGAATTGGAATAGATGAAATACAGTGAAAACAGAAGTCAGGAACAAAAATACAGCTGTATTATTCGCTTTTATTTTTTTTTCCTTTCAAATAGCGGTTATTTATTTCAGCCCTAAAAACTTAGTATGCTTTCAGGAAAGAAGAGTTGTGTTGTTTAAGCACTGGTGTGACCATTGTTGGTGTCACCAACATTATGCTTCCAGCCACCTGAGATCTTCTACCTTAGTTTTTACAAGTGTTGTATAGGACAGCAGTAAGCTAATGTGAACCAGAAGAAGCAGAAGTAATATGACAGGAATAAAATTTCATATCTTCACAACCTTTCAACTTACTTCTCAGTTACTAGCAGCCCTCACATTTGTCACGTAAGCACTCCCCACTCTTCCCCCAACTCCTCCCTCTCTGAGCTGGCAATTCACTGCCATTTGCTGCAAGATCCTGACTATTATTCATACAGAGTAAAAAACAATGTGGAATCACTAGCAATTTCTTAAACTGAGGGTAAAAAGATATTAGTCCTATAGAGCAAATATAGTGTCTGTCAACAAACTTCTTTATATCATTCTTTTGTAACTGAAAACACAGTATGGGAGGCACTTTTTTTAATAGTTTGATTAGCAAGTACCATGCTAAATGCAAGAAAATCTGCAACATTAAACAATTGTTTTCCCTCCCCCTCTGTCTTGCACTCCATTACTGCATTATTAATCCTCTATGCACCAGAAAGTTACAGGAGCACAAAAAAAATAAGTTTCTCTACACTTGGTTCAAGAGAGGTAAGTCTCACCTTACTCCTCACTAAGAAAAAACAAAATAGGTACTTTACAAAACAGTTATCTTCTAGGTAACTTAAGTTAGCAAAAGAGCAAAGGACCATATCTCTAACTTACTCAACCTAACTGAGACATCGGAAAGATGTGATTTAAAACTAACATCTTCATCACATTACAAAGATCTTGAAGATAAGAAGATTATTTCACAAAAACAACCAGTAATTCTTCTGGTCATATTTTTATGGTAGGAACTAAAAAACAATCCAGAAATGGATATATCAGATTTGGGTTGCATACATTTGTATATTATAATCTATATGTTGTTTATATATACACTTATTTTACCTATATATACACTCATGTCATCACTATATTCTTGTTTTCAAATGTTTCCATGCAAATTCTAGTGACCTTACCAAATATTCATGTTTTAATATTTTATATTACTTAGCCTTAACATCAACATAAAACTTAAATATCCTCCAAACGGATAATACAGTAACTGCACTACACACGTGAACAAGCCTATAATTGTTAGGGTAGTCAGCAGGGAATGCAGCTTTTCACATAGCAAGCACTGCCTATAGGTCAAAGAGAAATATCAAAATATAGGAAAAAATAACAAAAGTAAAAGGTTTAACATTATGATTACTACAAGATCTGTAAATAAAATGTTTTAAAATGTTATAGAACTATTGGGAAATATTTATAATGGAATGGATTTGAAATTCCCCTGTGAATTCCACCATTGCCATCTGCTAGTTTAGGAAAAGATAACAAGTCCTTTGAGATTAAGGCGAGGTGACTGGGGTGAGAGGGGCTACTTCAGAGCACAAAGTCACTCTTCATTGTTGACCTAGTTAGAGTTTACTTCTCAAAAATAGGTCTGTTCCCTAACTCTTTCATAACTTTCAATGTAAAGTAAAATAGGAACAGATTGCATAAAACGGGCAAACTGGATTCACTTCTTGTTCTGCTCTGTCCTTTATATTGCACTTGGGGAAAGAAACTAAGAATTCTCCATTTCAGATAAGGAGAGGAAGAAATTGCAATATTGCTTTCAAACAGTCTTCATAATACAAATCAATCTGTCTTTCAAGTGGAGTGCATAAAAGATCAGGGAATAGGGATTTAAACTTTTTAAAAAAAGACTTCTAAGAACCACAGATGAAGTTTTCCCTAAGCTTCAGCTACAGTTGTTTAGATACACCAGGCTCATTTCATCCTTGCTTTTTCTTTATGTTTTTCTATACCAATACAAAAATATATGCAAAGTATAAAAAGCTACCAAATCAGGAGTGGCATCTTACAGTTACTTTATACTCAATCTTTTCTGGCACAACTGACAGCAATAAGGAGTCTAATTCCCTTCTATGCTGAGATGGTGATCCATGCACTGTAGGTGCAAAAAAAAAAAAAAAATATTCATATTGCTTTAAAAATATCAGCACTGAAGACATTAAAAAAAAAGAAGACTTTATGTACTAGCTAAAGCAGGATTCTTCAGAGCAATCAGCTTCATCATGTTACACTACTGGTACAGTGTTCTGCTTTTGATCAGCCAGTATATTCCTACAATAATAGGAGAAACAGTAATTATATTTACAGAAAGCAAATTTGAAGAATAAAAATATATAGATCGATTAATATTAAAGTTTGTCAAAAAAAAAAAGTATCTGTTTAGAATATCTGATTAAATTTATTATAGACTCTTTGTTTCCTGGTGTCAGGGAACAGCAGAGGCAGGGCTGCTCCCTAAGGGAAAAACATCCAGGAGCTCAGGGTGACCCCAGTTCATGCACTGGGTACAGCCCACAGAATGTGACCACAATGGGCAGCATTGACAAAATCCATTTCCAGTTCTCAGTGGGACAAAACAATGAACCAGGTCCAATGAACCAGGTACGGAAAGACAGGACTTGCCAAAGACAGGTCTGGAAAGTCTGAGAGGTCCATCTAGGAGGGGGAACACCCCACCACAACAAAAAACTTCAGTATTTTCATTTAATCCTTTTAAAAATTAAAAAACAACTGATGAAAAAGTAATTTGAGTAAGAGAAGTTATATCAGTGTAGACTATATTTTCATATAGAAAAATAATATATTAACTGGTTTCATTAAAAAATAAACTTATTCAAATTTTTTTTGTTTGGCCAAAAAAATAGTAACATTTCCTCCACGTTTCAGCTAATACAGCTTAGTGCTTTTTCATCATGGACAAGAGATCTTTTTTCCTAAAGTTACATTATTTCAAAAAAATAACCTATGCTGCTTTTATGAACACAGAACTGAGCCCCTGTTTATCTCACATCCCATCTAAAACCTCCTACCTGAGACATCAGAATGACACAGTTACAGTTGCCTTTCTGAATCATCCATCACACTTTTATAACACCTACAGCACCAGGTCACAAACTGCCCTCTACCAGTCACAGATGGTTCCTATGATTGTTGAGAGCAATGTAAACAGCTCATCATGCCCAAAGCACCAGCCAGTCTAAGAATCACCTGGCACCTCTGCTCAAATGTATTTAAGAAAGAAACTAGGGGAAAAAAGACAACTGGAGAATATCAAGAAGAGAGAAGGGCAAGGTTCTAACTGAAAGCAAAAAGTATGAAAAATGTGAAGTAATGGAATATAAATAACAACGGACATTAATCAGGACACCAATAATATGGTTAAGAGAAGAGCTGCTTTGCAACTGATTAAATAGTAAAACTTATCAATAGTAAAAGTTATCATGGGATGGAAGGAAAAAATCTATTTTCACCCCTTCTCTGTATGTTTCAAGGGAGTTTCTTTTGATCATTGGCTAGATTAACATACTTCTGAACCTACAAATAATATATCCTTAATTTAATCAAATGATCATAAAAGGAGTCAGTTCTTCACATGAGCAGCGCCCACATTGCAATACTAATCTATTAGACTAGACTGTGAAAACTCCCTCCAATGACTATGTACCAGCAGAGCTGCTTGCTCTAGCATCACTGCCTGAAATATCAGAGGTGACACAGAAAAGGTGTCGCTTACAAGAAATGTGTTCCAGCGCTAAATAACAGAACTATTAATGCCGCTTCTACTTTTGTGTGTGTGTGTGTGATAATCATGAGTATTTGAACATTCATTTTCAGATTTTGAGCTCACAGAAGGTGAAGATAAGAAAAGATAGCATAATGATACTGCTGAGCCATTCTGAATTGTATAAAAAAAAGATACAGCACTAAGTGATAACTGGCATTACTAATAAGTTTTGCAAAGCTGCACACAAACTGATATGTAACAAACAAACTGCACAAATTTTTGTTAGCCAATGAGTTTGTAATTGTAAACAAGGTTGGGGAATGACCAGTTTGTACATCAGGAAGATGTAAGTCACCAAATTAGCTTCCCACTAAACCAGCTTTAAGAAAGAACAAGATTTCTCTCAAGGACTGGATAGAAAAGTCCACTAGTGAAAATCTCATCTTCATCTTCCATATATGTATTTTAATTTGTACCAGAAATGATTCCTCTATATCATTTTGCAATTTTATTGACAAAACCCCTTTTGTCATGAAAAGGAGCCTAACCTGAATTTGTCTACATTGTCCTATGATTTTTTTTTCATTAGAATACTAAAAGTTCATCTGCAAGCAGAACAGTTCTTGCACACCAGTAAGTCAGTCTGTAACAGATTATCCCCAATAGATTCTCCTTGAAAGCAGAGAAAAGAAAGACTAACTATTTTGATAGCAGTGCTGAAAAGAGTGTTGTTCTTAATCACAAACACAGCAATCAGTACTCTGCTTATATAATCTGAGTGACCCCCAAGGCCAGTCATATTGAAAGTAATTATCTCACAAATTTCATTTTATAGCTCTGTGTCTATTAACATAGAATAAAAATGTTTCCTGTTTATGACATATTGCTTCTCCTAGAGAACACTTTAGATGAAACAGGGAATTTTTACTTCCATGAGTAGAACTTTCAAAGCCTCTCTGATGCAAAATTCATTTACAAAGAGCTTTAATCTATGCCTAGTTCAGTAGGTAACAAACACAACACTGGCTTTTTTGGTGAAGGAAAAGGTGTGGAGGAACGAAAGACAGATCAGAGATAATTAACTTTTAATACAGACACCTTCATGAAATTTTGTCTCATCATAGACTGTACAAGAAGTACGTAACATTTCTTCCATCCCTGTGATTCAGTTCTCTACCTAACACTGGAACATCAGGACTTCTCTAGGTCACAGGAAATAGAGCAATAATGCATTTACATCCTTTTTCTTAGGCTTTCACTTCACCGCTAAAAAAAAAAAAAAAAAAAAAAAAAAAAGTGCTTATAATATTTAGTCCCAAACTGAACAAATTTGCCGTGCGCAGGGCTACATGGATGATCGGGGCCTGAAACATCTGCCACATCTGCCCTATGAGGAAAAGCTGAGAGAGCTAGGCCTGTTCAGCCTGAAGAACAGAAGGCTCAGGGGGAATCTGATAAATACATTAGGGGTGGGAGTGAGGAGGAGGGGGCCAGCCTCTTTTCAGCAGTGGCCAATGATAGGACTAGAGCAAACGGCCACAAATTGAAACACCAAAAGTTCCACAGGAACTTAAGGAAAAAATCCGTTAACAGTGAGGGCGACAGAGCACTGGAACAGGCTGCCAAGAGAGGTTGTGGAATCTCCTCTGGAGATCTTCAAAACCCTGTGCCATATGCTCTAGGTGACCCTGCATGTGCAGGGGGTAGGACTAGATGATCTCTAAAGGTCCCTTCCAACCTTAAGGATGCTATAATTCTGTGATTCTATGAAATTAAAACCCTCCTAAAGTCTTGAGGTAGCATTCTAAAACCAAAAGGGCTCATTTAACTGAGTTTTTCAACAAAAATGTTATCATGCCTCATGAAAAGATTATATTTTCTGGACTTTAAAAAAAAATTTTATATCGGCCAACTTTAGTTAAAAAGATTAGCACAAATTTAGTTAGTAGAAGGTACCTCAGAGTAGTGAGTTATAAGCAAGTCCTGCAGAACTACTGACACTGCCTCAGTAAGGTCAAGTAGAGATTCGTATTTAAATTTCAGCTAATATTCAGAGAAAGGGTTTGCATCATATTTTCCAGATCTAATTAATAACATCTGGTCATCTGGGAACAAATTTAGAAGTGCTAAATGTGCAAGAGCTAAGAAATTTGTATGCCAGATGAGAGAACCAGGGAATGGAATACAAGTACTCAGGAGAATAGAAGAGCTTTTTCAGTGAAGCACTTCATGCCTTACTTCATCCCACAAATGTGAGAAAGAAGGAAAGGAAGATGTAGTGGAGTGAAGGGAAGATTTAGGCCCTGATCCTCCCCAGACACCTAGTGATCAGGTCAAATATCCTCAGCTAAAGGACAGAAAACAAACAACTATGTAACTGCCAAGTGAGAGAGACTGCAAAAAGTCTCCATTCATTGAACTTCTTTATTAACGTTTCTATCTTTTCATGTCAATCATATTTTGTGCCTTTTCAACTGTATTTTAGAAGTTCAATGAATGAGTTATTGCACAGGAATAAATGGGAGTGAGATAAGGAAACAGTGGTTTTGTAAAATAACAATAGAAAACATGAGGGAGGCCGATCTCATGTTTCTTCATGTGCACAGCATCTGCTGGTCATTCATCAATCCATCCAATGTCCTTTCAGACCCATTCCACTGTTTATGTACCTGTTCACACTTTAACTTGCAGGTCAAATAAGCGTAAGGGGCTTCTAGCTTGTGTCTGTCTGCCTACCACACTGACAAATTCACTCAATAATAACAGCATTTCAAAAGGGCTGCACACAACAGCAAGTTAATTCAATGAGAAAGGAAAGGTTTACTGCTGGAAGAGTCTCTGAAAAGCAAAAAAACAAAAACAGTTTACTTAAGGTTATGGAAACAATACTAAACCTAAACCTAAGACTTTTTTTTTCGGGGAAAAAAAAAAAAAAAAGAAGCAAAGACTAAAATAAGAATTGGATGTAAAAAGCAATGTTTGCTCTTACTTTAGAAGTGTATGGTATAAATATGCTACTTATAAAAACAAGAGCTGAAAAAGCTAGTGTGGCTGAGTAATTTAGATGCACGGCACAAGGATAAAAGGAAGAGAGCTAATGCTGCATCTCACAAGAAAAGACACTGTCAAACAGTTATTTTGTTTCCAGAATTGACAAGGAGGGTCATCTGTTTTACTTCTCCATAAATGTGAACTATACCTCTCAAAAATAAAAGTATCTTTATTGCCTTTTTTTCATATGTCCAATAAAAATGTATGGAAAATGATAACATGTTTGCAGGTTTTGGGTGCCTACAACTGTAAGTACTCAAGGAGTTAACCTGCCAGGATTAAGTTTTACATGAAAAGGATGAATTCAGCCATGCAGAAGAATGGAATCTATACAAACGGGAAAAGTATGTCTAAAAGAAGAAATTACATCTCCAGACTGGCTTGCACAGAATGAAAAGTCAAAAAGAGAAGTGCAAAATAAACACTTAAATGAAAATTGTCATAGGAAATGCAAGCCTTACACAGGATAAGATAAATGATAGGCTATTTATTCAAATAAAAGAAATCTGTAAATGGTCTTCTGATCATCACATAAACACGAAAAGTACATATTCAGTCCCAGTACAAGAGGATTTATCCTACTAATTGTACTACTAATACAATGGAAAGTCAGATCACTAGGATTGCAACGATATGAGAGATGGTATCCTTTTCATACCTAGTAACTTCAGTTTTATGATCCATACACCCAAAACATTGTAAAGTACAGATTTTATGTTTCCTAAGAGCATGACTTTTCAAATGCCTTGAGGAAACTAAAACAGCCTTTTTGTTTTATCTACATCTAAGACCTTGATTCTGTGTGAGTTTTGCAAAGGGGTATTTCTGTGTCTTAATCTTCTCACATGGGAGAGACTTCTTATACTTCTAAGAATCTTTTTCCAAATTCAAACCACAGAAGTATTTAGCAAATGAAATGTATAATTAGACAGACATTCACAGTTTAATTTATACAGTTATAAACCAATCCTATTTATTTGCTCAGACATGAAAGATGTTCACACAGTTTCCCATTGAAAATGATTAATATGCTAATGTATTTTAAAATAAAAAATAGAATCTTAGATGTTAGAGATAGATATAGGGGAAAAATAGTTCTGTTATCTACCATATGTTCATGAGAGTATAAAATCTTTTCTGCTAACTGTTCCGTCTAATCCACTGTACAAATCTGACCTTTTGATCTGAAATCATATTTCCACAAACACTTGAAGCCATCCCTGCCTCTAAGATGAGCATTTCTCTGCTCCTTCTATCATAGTCTTATTCATTCTGTCTTTCAGCAGTGC